GTGGAATATATCTGCTATTTCTCCTTTGCACTGTGTCACTTTGTCTACAAACCACTCAACCTGAGCTGTCCCTAGAATTTAGTAATTTCTAATCTTGCCTGTCCTGGTCAGTCCCAATGAAAATCTTAACATCTTCATTACTCTACTAGTACCAGCTTGGCCTCCTATCTGTTTGTCACCGTGTCTTAACCATACATAGCAAGTCTCGCTAACATCTCATAAACGTCCCATTCACCATCCTTCTGTCACAAATCAGCCCTGACATTTGTCTCTAACAGCTCCCCCCATTTGCACACTCTTCTTCACCTCTCCTCAACACTGCTTCTGTTGCCTGGAATTTATCCCAGGTACTTAAAATAATCTAAATACATTATCTAAACTCTATATTTTAATAGTACAATCAGTAGAGTCTTTATTTATCCAAGTAATGTTTTCACAGATTCAGTATTCAGTCTCTCTACTAGTCTTTTTACAGCAACATTACATGTAGCACCATGGCGAATCATCGATCCCATTATTCTGTATTATACTGTATTACAGTATCTAATGGTTACATTAACAAGTAAACAGTAAACCGACTGGTAGTTTTTACATGGTTGAGCTAAAGACATGTCTCAATGATTCTGAAAGGACAAGGTTTCTTTAAGCATCTTAATGGAAAATGTTTTGGACACTGGACAAGCTTTGCTACAAGCAGAGACAGTTTTACGTTTGACATCTAGAGCTTTGAAAAACATCCACAGCAGGTTTTCAGAACAACAGCTCACCTTTGCACTGCAGGCCCTGCCTGAAGAGGCCTTTGAGCAGCTTCTTGCAGTGCTGGCAGACAGTAGGCCGGGTGTAAGAGTGAATCAGGAATGTGTGGGGAACTTTGACTTTTGACAGTAAGATCTTATCAAGCTCAATGGGACGGCCAACATATGATTGTGAGCTGGATCGCCGCTCTCTACCAGGAAAGTAATCTAACTGGTTCTTCTGCTGTTGGGAGAAACAAGCAAAGCATTTCAAAGTTTTTCATGAGTTTCTAGTTTTTGCATGTGGACCTGTTTTCCATGATAAGTCACACTTAAAATGATTTTTTTATGGCAGCAGATTTAGTTAGAGTTTGGTTTCTTAGCTCTGGGGTTACCGTTGCCTGTAAGAACTATATGATAAATAGACTAACAGATGGGAGAATGAATTGCACAGTAGAATTTAACTTGGCTGCCTGTTCACTATTATGCAATAGGTAAAAGTGACCCTAGAGAAGTATTTCTATGTAAAAAGATGGGAGGACTTACCTCCATGCTAGGACTGACTGGAGACTGGACAACAAAAAAAGAACAAAAAAAGTTACTTCAACATTTCTGAAAAACTGTGTTCCACAGGTCTGTGCTTTTGTACTGACCAATAAAGCATCATCACTGTAGTGGGGAGGTGAAGGCTCAGCAGAGAGCGGACGCCCGATGTTGATTATCCCGCCTGTCAATGAGACATTAGAGGGACGACGCCTCCTCACCCCGCTGCAGTTGTTGGGGATCTTAAAGGCACAGCGCTTGTGGTAATTCAGACCACAACCTGGAGAAAAGGATAGTGTCTCTTTTTAAAATTTTACCTCAGCCATAATGTTCTCATGATTTCATCTTATGGGAGTAGGATATTTTACCTTCACATTTAAGTCCTTGGCGTACAAGTCCCCACAGCATTTCCCCACAGTGGTCGCAGAAGGCTGGAGCTCGGTACGAATGGACAAACAGGCAGTGTGGACGAATCTGGAAGTCCTCTACTGTGGCTGAAGCTGTAGAAAATTATAAGATATAAATGAATTCCAAATACAAGTTTTTGTGTCTGTCAAGTAAGCTTACATGTGTACTAGGGCAGCGGTCCCCAACCTTTTTTGCGCCACGGACCGGTTTATGCCCGACAATATTTTCACGGACCGGCCTTTAACCCTTTAAG